AGAAACCTCAGAAACGGAAGAAACAGATGTAGAAATAGAAACAACTTCCGAAACGAAGGGGACTAAACAGGAACAAGAGGGATCCACCGAAGAAGATCCTTCCCCTTCCCTTTTTTCGGAAGAAAAGGAGGATCCGTACAAAATCGATGAAACGAAAGAGATACGAGTGAATGGAAAGGAAAAAACAAAGGATAAATTCCACTTTAAAGAGACACGCTATAAAAATAGACCCGTTTATGAAACTTATTATCTGGATGGGAATCAAGAACAAGAAAATTCAAAGTTAGAAATATTTAAAAAATAATAAAAAAATTAATACATAGGATACATACACTAAAAGATAAGAAGAAATTCGACCACCCCCTACATATTTGATAACCTCTCCTACGAAAAAACTCGCAATACCGACTCCATTCGTAATTCCATCAATTACTCGTCTATCAAAAAAATGAATTAGTTCAGCTAATCTTCTTATACCTTTAGTAAAGGATATTACATAAAAAAAATCTATGTAACCACGATTATATGACCAATTATATATCACATTTATTATTTTACCCCCAAAAATTTTAATTTTATTAGGAACACTTCTAACAAATGAATTAAATAAATTAAAATTTTGTAAAGATGAATAAACAGGCTTATATAAAAAAGACGATATAAGAATTCCGAAATAAGCTATACTAACGGAAAAGGTTGCATTTGTGATAAATTCATACCAATCCACAGAATGGTTTCTATTTTTATGTAAAAGGTTTATAGACGGACTTAAGAATTTGGATAGTATATCCAAATCCATTCCTTCCTGATTGAATAACGGAATTCCTACGGCCCCAACGAACAATGTAAATAAAACTAATACAAGCATCGGAAATAACATAGTATTGTCCGACTCGTGGGGATATGAGAAAGTGTTTTTAGTGCCAAAACGAGCAATACTAATAAACGGATGTACCATACTTCTTACATTTTCATTACTATCAATCCGATACGTGTTTAAAAAATAAGTTTTTTCATTTTTTTTCGTAGTTAAAAAATCTAATAAACGAAAGCTTGTTTTAATAATTTTTTTTCCTTCTTTACCCCAGAGAGACATTGAATAGAACGAGCTATTTTTTTTGCCGCTGTAATTTTGAAAATAAACATTTAAATGTCCTTCAAAAGTAAGTAAATAGATACGAAACATATAAAATGCAGTTAATCCTGCCGTGGAACAAGCTATTATTGCAAAAATCGGTGAATACAACCAACTATCATTAAGAATTTCATCTTTGGACCAAAAACAAGCAAGAGGTGGAATACCACAAAGAGAAAGTGTACCTAATAAAAAAGCGGTTTTTGTAATTGGTACATGTTTTCTTAAACCGCCCATAAGAACCATATTCTGACTTTTATCTGGAGAATATCCAACAATAGTTTCCATCGAATGAATAATTGATCCAGATCCTAAGAACAACAATGCTTTCGAATAGGCATGAGTAATCAAATGAAATAAAGCAACTCGATAAGACCCCATACCTAGAGCTAACATCATATAACCCAATTGAGACATTGTAGAATAAGCTAAGCTTTTCTTAATATCTTTTTGAGCAAGAGCTAAAGTGGCTCCTAAAAGTAATGTTATTATACCTGTCAAAGCTATTAGATTTATTATGTAAGGTATAACTATGAAAAGAGGAAGAAGCCGAGCTACAAGAAAAATTCCTGCTGCTACCATAGTAGCGGCATGTATAAGAGCCGAAATGGGGGTAGGCCCTTCCATGGCATCAGGTAACCATACATGAAGGGGAAATTGGGCGGATTTTGCAACTGCGCCGGCAAATAATAGGAAGGCGCATAAGGTAACAAATAAAAAATTAACCTCATTATTATAAACCAAGTTATTAAATATCTCAAACAAATCCCGAAATTCAAAACTACCCGTTATCCAATAAAAACCCAAAATTCCTAATAATAAACCAAAATCCCCGACACGATTAGTTACAAACGCTTTTTGACAAGCATTCGCCGCACTAGGTCGTGTGAACCAAAAACCTATTAATAGATAAGAACACATTCCAACCAATTCCCAAAAAATATAAATTTGTATCAAATTAGAACTAGTAACTAATCCCAACATTGAAGTATTGGAAAAACTCATATAAGCAAAAAATCTCAAATATCCCTGATCATGAGACATATAATTATCACTATAAATAAGAACCATCATTCCAACAGTAGTGATTAATATTGACATAATAGAAGTAAGTGGATCAACCAAGCAGCCAAATTCTAAATAAAAATCATTATTGATGGTCCAAGACCATACATATTGATATACGGAATTGTTATTTATTTCCTGAATAGAAAAATGGGCTGAAAAAATCATAACTATACTTAACAATAAAACACTCGGAAAAGCCCACATACGGCGAAGATTTTTCGTTGCCGTTGGAAAAAGTAGAAGTCCTGCTCCAATTAACATTGGAACTGGAAGTGGAATGAAAGGTATAATCCATGAATATTGATATGTATATTCCATAAAAAAAAATAAAATATTTTTCTTAATTAATTGTTTCTGATTCACCGGTTCTTATTTGTTTTCTGTTGAAAGGGTTCAGTTAATAAAAAAAAATTAAGATATATAAAATAAAACTTAAATAAAATTTGCATTCTAATTATTACGTATTACAATAATTTATTTATATCTTTTATATCTATAGAGCGAGGATAAATAATTACACCAAAAACAGTGTTTGGTATGAATCATAAAGCGCATAACTTGACCCATAAAAACTATTTATTGTAATTGTAATTCGGTTATTCAGAATCATTAAACAATTTGTTTTGTAACTAATTGATTGTCTTCCATTACAATAAAAGCTATTTGTAGGAAATGCTATGATATCCACACATTTTATGTATAAAAAAAAAAAAAAAAAAAAAAAAAAAAAAAA